TATTAGATAGGTTGGGAAAGTTCGGCAACAGCGCCGACCGCTCACCACGGAGCCCAACAAGGGGACACGGCACAGCTTCATAAAAACGTCTGCGCAATGCCAGTTGTACGCCGCCGCTATAACCTAATAAGGTATACCATGGTTGGATGACCACACATGGTTAACCTTTGCCGCCGGGAAAATTGGAAGTAACTAGAAGAGAGGAGAAGACAGGAAAGATGTAAAGTGAGAAGAAAAGAGGAAGGTGTAGATAAAAAGAGAGTCAGGAAAAGGCAACTGCCGATTTCCCCTAGGTGGATCAGCCCAGGCTTGCCGTCTATGTGAAGCCAAGGCCAAAGGGGTGTGTTGCCTCTGCCGGGGGGACGGCTCGTTAGCTCGGGTCCGTGGTGTCGCTACACGCCAAATGCCTGCTTGCACAGACGCCCCTGCAGGGCTATCACTATGTGTTCACGGCCGGTCTACACTGCGCCTGCCCGCACCTTTTTTACGGTCTTCGGAACATGTGTAGTACATGCTTCTCGCCACTCCTTTGAGGGGGGCGCTGCGACCCTGCCATCTTCCGCCGCTTCGTACAGCGCTGCAAACCCATGAGTTCGGGCGTGCTTTTCCACTAACCGCACGTTGAAAAACAAGTTGCCTAACTGCTAAAGGCACAGAAATGGTTTGTTTTCCGTTCTTATTTGCACTAGGTGCATCGAGCCTGAGTTTATTGAAAAATGTGTAAATGTAAGAGCCCGAAGTACAGCTCTCCACCATCAAACTTGTACACATTCCTATGTCTGGAAATAAATATTTATTGCTTGTCTTGTTCACAGCCTAAAATGTCTTGTTCACAGCCTAAAATTCTTCCTAGTTGACTTGTGTGTGTAGGCGGAAGGCTAGTCGTTTGCGTCAGTCAGTGGGCTTGTGTGGTTGACGAGGAGAATTCTTTGAATTTTTCAGCTATGAGGTCTACAAATCGTCGGGAGTGACTGTCGTCAACGCTTTCAGGGCAGCTTAAGATGGGAGCGCGTTGCAAGTAGAAATGGACCGCTGTTTGCAAAACTTCTAGCACATTTCTGCGTGGCAGGTGTTCTGAAGCCTTATCAAAAAAGGCCACTATCTCGTCCAAAAGGGCATAGAAACTCAGGCCTCGTGTAGTGTAGTTCGCCCCTCTCTTGTGCTCGCAGCAGCTTGTACAGCTGATGCTGCTCGTTGGTCGTAAGCAGCGCAGCGCAAGAGTCGCATCCAAGGTCTGTAATAAGCTTGGCAATGTAGCCACCGAGGTATGGTAAGCTGGAAAAGGTGACGAATGGAGACGAAGAAGCCTCGTGCTCCAACAAAGATATCAGGCCCTTATCAAGTATATTCAATATAATCACAACCTCCTCCTCAACTTCCACATTTGATGACTTGATTTCTTTCGGTCTTGGGATATGCAACTTAACGATGTGGTCCAGAGCAGCGGTGATGGCTCTAGCATCCAGCATGTCGTTCCCGCCGCACATTGACCGCACCCTTCTGAAGATTGCTTCGATGGGGTCACTGTTCAATTTCTATGTCAGGACATAACTGACGCCTTGCTCATGATAAATTCTATTGTTTCCACCGTCGACCTTGTTGTAAAAAGCAAAGCTTTCTACATCTCTTTGGTGATGCCAGCACTCTATGATCCGATGGAACTCTTCTGTATTTTTTCCACACATGAGATAAACTCTTCCTTCAGCCACAGTAGGCGATTGTCATCGCTCCTGAATATGGGAGCTTTGTGGCCTCTTCCATTTAATGAAGTGTCATGGATGTCAAACCATTTCTTCATGGACGAAAATGATTGAACTTGCTCCCTTGAAATCTCTGGCAGCACCCGTGGAATTTTGCTGAAGGTGTTCCACGGCTGCAGACACTTGAGGGGCGAAAACTTGAACTGCTCACAGCATACTTATTTTTTCCAAATTGGATGGGTAGACATTTTTCTCGTCAAATTCAGGGCCAGCTTCACAGTCTTGTGTTTCTGATACTCATATAATTTCTGCACAAACGATACACTAATCACTCCTGTGCCATCTGTAAGTTCATGTTCGAGGAACTGGTTTCTAACGTTTTTGAGCACGTGGTCCAGGTCAAAACTCAAAGATAACGCGGTCGGCGTCGTGTGGATGACATACAACTGTGTTGAAGTCGCCGTTACCCATGTGCTTAAACATCATTGCGTTTGCTGAATAATTGCCCGTGACAATGCGAATGATGATAAAGCCACATGATTCCACAGCAGCAATGACCCCCTTTCGTCCATGCAAAGAGATCTCTACCACTTAGTTGCTTAGTGAAGTAGTACGAGCATAGAATCTTGTACCGACTCGAGGTACCATGCAGCACGAAGCCGAGGACTCTGTTCGCAAGGGCTTCTTTCAGCTGTATTCGCCATGCTACTCTCTGGCTTAGTCATGAAGGCCAAAGACTACATCAGCCTTCCTATCACAGATGCACTTTTGCTTTAGGCTAGCTTCATCTATTATTAATAAGGCCATATGTTGTTTGCTGCTGAGTAGGGAGGCCTCGTGAACCAGACGGTCCTTCATAGCATTGCTCATACCCGATGATGTTGGGGCTTGGACCTATATACCTCTGAAGAGTGCACTTTGCTGGCAGTGTCAGAATCCACGAAGTGCAAGCGTGATCATAGCCTTTTGGGAATAGAAAGCGCCATATCACACACTCCTTAACAACTTATTCTGGGTACGCTGAATGCTTATCTCCGTAACATTCTATTTGATGCAAAAGAAACACGGCCTCTTTTTCTTCTTTCTGTGCATCTGTTGCGATTTTTTTAACACATGCGTGGAGCTTGCTTTCGCGATAGTATGCGGACGCCTTTTCTTCTTCTTTCAACAGCTGCTACTCCTTCTCACATTTTGAACGATGGTATGACACTTGGGAGAGTAATCTTCCTATCATAGCCAGGTATTGACCCACTCAGACCGCACACAACCATGCGCCGCTGCGTGTATTCGTACACGCGCCGCCGACCGCCTATCCACACTTGCGTGGGGATGGTGCTGCCACATATAGCCTGATCTCGCCAAAATAGGTTCACGTACCTGTTCTTCCCATTTTATTACTACCTTGTTACTTTTATAGATATCCTTTAGAAGATTAGTTGTTACATCGCCCACATCTGGTATGTCCAATATTTGCCACAAGCCTTCTTGAATTACACTATCGTAAGCTCCTTTGATATCTAAAAATGCCAGCCACAGGGGCTTCTGTTCTTTTTCCTCTATTTCAATACACTGCATAAATGAAAACAGATTGTCCTGCAACCTCCTTCGTTTACGAAACCCATTTTGTAGTACTCCCAGCACCCCCTCATTCTCCACCCATGTCTGTAGTGTTTCCTTTACTATCTGCATCTTTACTATCTGCATCACCAGCCTGTAAACTACTGATGTCACCGTTAAAGGACGGTAGTTGTTTATATCGGCTTTGTCCCCCTTTCCTTTATAGATCACACTCATCCTGCTTAGTTTCCACCCATTGCAGGCTTCACCATCTATTATTGCTTTGCTCGCTGTATCTCTTAATGTTTGCTGAGTTTGCTCCTAGTTTCTTTATTAGCATAATTGGGATGCCGTCAGGGCCTGCTAATGTGCTATTAGGAACCCTCTTCTCTGCCCTTTTCCACTCTCATTGTCCCAGTGGAGTCATGGCGCTAATTGGTCCATCCTTATTCGGTATGGTGCATGCAGCACTTTCCATGGTGTTTAAATTTCTCCCGTTCCGGGAGATAGCTGATGTTTGTGCCACCTGAGAGCGGCAATACAAAACACAAATAATGCGTTTAATAATGCGCGTGCGGATCAACAGGTGAGTCGACAGTCTGCTCACTCCCGACAGGGGGGGGGGGGGACTTGAGCAGCAAAGAATCCTTTTGCTACATAAGAATGGGAGCATGGCATGCCGCCACACAAGTTCTAAAATATGTCATTTTTAGAGAAATCATACCAAGACAAACAAATGACTGATTCTGGTTCATAAAAGGCTGTAGATTTCAAATATTAAAAAAAGAAAAAAAAAATAACTTTTTTTCCAATATTTTTGCTTACCCTGTCACCTTAAAGGCCCATTGTTACCATCAGCTTTCTGCTTTTAACACTGCTCCACATGTTTGGCAAAACTAAACTTGTGATAAAGCACAATTTTTCACGTTTCCTCAAGTTTATCTTAATGAAAGGCTAATGAAACAGCATGGTTCAAAATAATACCACTTTTTGCCGTGTTCCTTTCAGCTGCAGAGGTTAATGCTCATTTTGATGAAGGATAAATATGATGATGAAAACAAGACGTGCAACAACAAAAGTGCAGGCACAAGCGCTGTCCACGGGACCAGCGCAACCTTTCTGTATGCATTGAGTCTTGTATCATGAGCGCCGTACCTTTTGTCTGCATTTACATGCATAAGCTCATTAAAAAAATAACAAATGTCGCTTACATTTCGAGAAGACATTCTATGCTATGAAACAAATCTAAATAATATTGACTTATTCATATTGCTTAAACGCTTGTTTATGTCCTGCACAACTGCGCTAATAAAAGAACATGTAATAAATCATGCCTATTCTGAGAACCTATTCTGTGTCATTAGGACAGAGTGCTCTCGATTGATTAATCTTGCATTTAAGAGGTATGCATGCAGTGTGATTTGCTGTAACAAAGGGTGTTTACCTTGCATGCTTTAGGGAATGATATTCTTAAAGGATAAACAGGAGCTGCTCCAGTATATCCTCTGAAAATTCCGTTCTCTTAAGCTTGCGAGGTGGACAGCCTTCGTTATAGCAAATCACACGGCATGCACACCTCTTAAATGCAAGATTAATCAACCTAGAGCACTCTGTCCTAAAGACACGGTTCTCAGAATAGGCATTATTTATTACACATTCTTTTATTAGCACAGTAGTGCAGACATAAACAAGCGTGAGAGCAAAATAAAAAAGTTGATAAATGTAGGCATTGGAAAGACGTACAGTCAGGAGCCGTTGACTTTTGTTCCTGTGCCCATGCTGATCACTCCGGCACCTAGAAAGTTATGCGATGCTCCGAATAAGGACAATGTTGCAACAGTGAGGCAGGACTCGTGAATAGCCAGATTGCACGCACTGAGAAAGCACCAGAAAAACTTGTAATTTAGTCTCCTAATTTAGAACACAGAAAATCATAAACTGCACCACAAGAAATTTAGGTTGCAAGCTTGGGTAATATTTCACGAGTTGCTTCTAAACGTCTCCTATGATTTTTCAGTCACATGATTTCCAGATCTGATGTGACCAAACAACCAAGCTCGCAACAAATTTTGTGCAGTGTTATACAGATTCTAAAGCACGCTAGGAAGTGCCCAATACTGTGCATCTGCAGTGACTACGCAGACAGAGATGCATACCTCCCCAAAGGTTTGTCCTATTGTGGTGGACACTGTATAGTTGTTATTTTCGGGAATCATGCTCGCGATTTAAGCGACTGAACGAAATGTCAGCACCGAACAAGTGTGCAGCTCCCGGGAACACTTGTATAAAAGTCTATATACGAGGCTAAAAAACGCGGGCGCAGGTGCCGCTCACTAAAATGCCAACTGCCCGTAAGTTTGAACGTTAAGAAGCATCTGCACGAGAGAAAGGCCTGTCACGATGATGGAATAGGCGAACACGAAAGGCAGGGTTCGCCAACGAAAACGAGCTTCATACAAACAGGAACACGTCGGGCAACACGAAAACCTGTCTAATCTGGCGCCGAGAGACATTTCGGGAAAAAGTATACTGCCTCCTGTTATCGCCAGTTTAGGCGATCGGAAAAGGTCCCTTGTTTCGCATCATTACACACAAAACAATTGCTGTTCATTTCATCACCAATGGCACATTTCACGACTATTGTTCAGAGGTATTTGAACGGCCGTGAGCGTGTTCGCTTTTGTGAATAAGCGCTCGGTGTCTGTTCGGCACACAACGCGCACAATAAAATGCGAAAACTGCAGCTACATTCACGGTTTTACGTATGTTTTAGCCGAATTTCTTAGTCTGTTGGCCGTTTCTTGACTCAGAATTTCAAGTCGCCACCTACATGAGATAGTTTCGCTCACATCATGGTTGAAGTAATACCGGCATCAAATGCTGCCGGGAGTTGCGTGTTTCGGCTAATCGCTTAAACATTCAATTAAAAGGAAATCAAATCAACTAGTATTCTATCGCTTTAACGCCGCACCACCACGTCGGAGCGCCAGAGACAGATCGCTAGCAAACGCTGTCACATTCACGCTTCAAATACGAGTGTACTACATCGCATTGACCGCATCTGTACAATTTATAGAATCATTTCGGATAGCTAAGAAAATGAGAGCGTTTATCCTCCATAATTGCCACCCTCCCCGCGGCCTCGTAAAGGAGAGTGGCTCACAGCGAAAGCGCCCACCAAAAACAAAATGCAACGCTCGAAAACCGTTCACAAACACATCAGCTGTTGTCAGAATAAGCAACCGCACATCGGACACAACAACGCGAGCGTGGCGCACGGGAAACGGACCATACAGTGGATATTCGTCGCCATAAACCTGACTGTCCAGCTCGAAGTTGAGTGAATGAGTTCTTGATCTCGACAAGTAACACAGCTTTGGTCCGACGCTGACGGACGTTTCTACGACTAAACGTACAGCCGTAGAGACGGAGCGAATCAGTGATCCCGGTTAATCAACTAGCACAACGTTACTCTGACTAGAACTAGGCGAAACTGAAAGTTCACACGAGCAATCAAGTGCTCCAGTGGCGTGGAAGGGCTTCGGTCCTAGGAGTGCCAAGCCTAAAACGGCGACGTGTTACAAACTCGATGCATTCGGACATTTTTTTGATTCAAACTGACAATAAAGGACGCTTCGGTGACACTTACCGATTCCCGGCTTGCAGGCGAGAAACTTTTGCGAAAATCCCGCGGAAAACACAGCATACGTGCCGATAAAAAGTGGCTCCTTTGTGTAAGGACCGGCGTTTCAGTGGCAAAAATGGAGAAGAGCAGAGGAAGGAATCACGAACGCATGAGGTTTGTGACGCGTGACGTCACCAGCCGTTTCAAACAATGTTATTTCGAAGACGCTTTAATCGCGGCGTGCGAGACGAGCGTTAATGTGATGTGAGCGCTTTCTCCTCGGCTTCTAGAACCACTAGACAATCTAGTAAGAGTAGGTCCAGCCGGCACACCTAGTTTTTGGGACGTTGGTTGAGCGTTAACTAACAATCAAAATACAGACAAAACAGAATCAAAACAGGAACGCGCTTGGGACGTGCTACACTGGGGGCTGTCCGTTTAATACTTTCTTTTTTCTTTTACCTCTTTCAATCACCGGTGCAACACATTCGTAAACTTGTTTCATAACACTGTTTTGAGCAGAAAAAGAAGTACGCGAAGTGTGGAAGTATTTCATTCGAGTCTTTTCGAAGATTTGGTGGACAGTCGACAAGTTGGTTTCCTCATTAAAAGTTCACATCGGAAGAAAATCAAGTGTTTTCAAAGAGAAACTAGAAATTCGAGCACGCACTACCAAGCCGTTTTCGCTGGTGCTCTTTTCCCCGTGGAGCGCCGTCGCAACTCCTCGAGTGCACGAGGTCAGCTTTTGGAAGAAGTGTAGCATCGAGGCAATCACTGTGCCTCTTGACTAATTTATACGCGCGAAGAGGACGCTAGCGAGACACATGCGGTGGCGCCCGCGCGCAGGGAGCAGCCCCTGATCTGCTTCTTGGGTTCGTGGAGCCGTATAGATTTTCCGCGGCCATTGAGGCAGCGAAGGCTGGACTAGACGCATTTCATAATTCTCGGCGCACTCTTATTGCTTTTTTTCTTTCCTCTCTGCGCGGCTCCGAGGCGCCCTGCAGCCCCGCTTTCCCGGGAGAAAAGGCAGGTGACCTCCTAAAGCCCATCTAGCCGCGCAGAGACAGTGGCGCGCGCGGACCGTGGTGGCGCAAGCAGCGAGCGCGCGGAGCTCGCTACTCACTTCCCTAAGTCAGGGACAAAAAGTCCTTAACTAGGTACCCTCATGGATGGATGAACAAAAATATCTGGCTGTTCCCTTCAGATGGATGAATGAATAAACTGAAGAGGCTCTACCTTTTGAATCGGGCAGCGGCTACAGCCACCTAGCCGTAATACTTAGTGAACCAACAATTAGTTTTATTGGGGCCTGTGTTCTTTTTCTCCTATTTCTATGCACTGCGTCAGTGAGCACAGATTGTCTTCCAACATCCTGAGTTTCTAAAACTCATTCTGCAGTTCCCCCAGCACCCCCTCATCCTCTATCCATGCTTGCAGTCTTTCCTTTATAATCTGCATCGCCAGCCTGTATACCATTGATGTCACTGTTATAGTATGGTAGTTGTTTATGTCAGCTTTGTCCGCCTTTCCTTTATAGATCATTCTCATCCTGCCAAGTTTCCATCCATCGGGGACTTCACCATCGATTATTGTTTTGCGCACTGCCTCTCTCAAAGTCTGTTTAGACTTCGGACCCAATGTCTTTATCAGCATAATTGGAATGCCATCTGGGCGTGTTGATGTACTACTTAGAACCTTTTTCTCAGCCCTTTCCCACTCTCGTTGTAAAAATGGAGCCATTGTGCCACTTGAACCATCCCTGTATATTGTGGTGCATAAGGCACTTCTTTGTTGAAATTTTTCTCTCACCCTTATTCTTATATATTCAGTAGCTTCGTCCCCTTCTAGCCTAGCACCTTGAGCTGTAGTTATAAACCTCTGCTCTAGATTTGTTTCATTTCTTGGGGAGTTTAGATGGTTCCAAAATTTCGCAGCTGCCTTTCTTTCCTTTTAATGTACTTCTGCCAGTCACTGAGCACCCTTTCTTCTAATCTTTTCATTGATCAGGAGGGATGCATCCCTTCAAGAGCTTAGAAAGATTTCCCATTTTCTGTCAACATAATCTGTCGGTTCACCCCGCTGCTTAACATGTCTGTGTTCCCTAGAGGCTTCCTGACGTTTTGCTATGGCTCTCTTAACTTCCTCATCCCACCAACTCTTGGGCTTGTGTCTTCTTTTCCGGGGTGACTTCTCTCGTGCCTTAGCAAGCTCTAGCCCAAACAGTCTAATTAGATTTGTGTATGTCCACACATTTTTACTATCCTCAGTGATTACTTTCTCAATTTGTTTAGTAGCAATTGCTATTTGCCTTTCTGAATGAAAATTTTCCTGTAGTTGCTCATCTTGTCTCCTTCCCACTTTCGCTGCTCTTCCAAAACTTATATAGCTTCATACGTTTGTGATCACTACCCAGAATTCTGGAGCCACATTCATCTATGTGCATTTCCCTGAGCCTATCACACATCCTACGTGACATCAGTGCATAATTTATCGTCGACTGCAGCCATCCTATCTACGGAGTTATTTGCCCTTTACACTTCTCAGTGCTGTTGCGAATGAACAAAACATGATTTCCACACATATCCGTGATCATTTTGCCTGTTGGGTCAGTATACCCATCTATATTTTCTATGTGCGCATTCATATCTCCTTGTAGAATTATCTCGTACTTTCCACCTAATTCTTCAATGTCCTTTGATATACACTCCACCATTGCCTGGTTTTCCTCTCTGGACTTTGCTCGCGTCCACAAGTACACCAAACCAAGAAGTGCCATCTGCCCAGCTACTTTCCCTCTTAACCATAAATGTTCAATGCATCCCCGCTTGACTCTTTGCCAACCCATACTTTTATGTACGAATGCACCGATACCACACCCCCTTTATGCTACCTTCTGTTCTATTCCAATATTCCCATACGTAGTCCGGATTGCAAGGTGGTCGCCCCATGTCCCTAAGATGTGTCTCCACAACCCCATATACCATCAGCTCCTCCTGCCTGAAGTGCTCTTCTATCTCTTCCCACTTTAACCTATTCCTGCCACTCTAGCATGTTACTATAGCCTATGTCTGACTTAGTTCGGCCCTGTGCTTACGTCAATTATTGCTTCTCCCACGGACTCCGTGTGGCTTGAATATTTGTGCCCCTTTAGAACCATCTTTAGCTACACTGTTGGCCTCAGGGCTCTGGTTCCCCCTAAAAAAAGCTGTGGCGTGACGACCCATCCTATTACCTACCCTCCTGCCCGTTGCACCACTGTAGTGAATGCCATCCTGTGCAAAGGGGCGAGCGCCGGGCTCGTACACGTGTTGGTTCACCTCCATTACGCTTTATCTGAGTTGCCGGCTCACACCCTTGATCACACAGTTGGCCTCCACTACCCTCCTTTCAATCCCAAGAGACTGCCCCCAGACTTCTGGGACTGTGCATATAGTCACACGCACACTCTCAGAGGCTTCTTGGAGCTTATGCATCCCATCCTCTAACAGTCTCTGAAGGTTCTGATCATTGCCCTTATACACATCATTGAGCCCAGCATGAATTATGACGAGAGTTTCGCCCTCCATACTGTCCTCTACAACCTCCTTGAGCTTTGGCCAGTGCATCCACCATGCTCTTCCCTGACTGGGCCTCCACCCTGACTCTCCCATCTTCCTTCACTGTCTTCAAGACGCCATCCCTAACACTGGCAACGATAGAGTCCCCCACCACCAGGACCCTTCTACACTCCAATCGCTGGCTTCCTGTTTGTGATGACGCCCCTGTTTGCTTCACCTGTTTCTCTCTCTGCCATCTGTCCTGTGTTTCTACCCTGCTGAAAGGCTGCCGTGCCACCGAGCTGTATGTTCTCGGAGCCTCCGTGCTGTGGCCAGACACTGCGGCCCCCTGACCTCCCTTCTCGCCTGTCCCTTCCCACCTGTCACCTTCCCCGCTACCCACGCCTTTCGTCTCACACCGCTCTGGACCGGGGCAAAGCGCCATTAGTTCCTTTACCTGCTGCCGAGCTTGGTCAGCCCTTCCCGTTCTTTGCTCTCATAGGCTGGCGCGCTATAGCCTTCTCCCGCTCACGCGACGCTCCGAGCTGTTTTTGTAGTTCTATCCTCCCGTTCCGCTCTAAGTTCCCCCCCTTAAGCCCCTCGGTGCTAGCCTGCTTGCGCTGCACGGCCGCCTTCAGTGCCTCGCACAGCCTGCACACGAAGCTTGCCTTCTGCGCGTCGGCCAAACTCGTGAATGCTGTCTCGTCCAAGTAGCACCATCTCACTCCACCATCTCGCACTGCACCAGCTCACTCTCGCCCGTGGTTTTCCTAGCCTCCTTAGCCATCGCCCGCCCGACCATCCGACCGAGCGCCCGACAGCCTAAGTTCAACCCTAATCCCGCTATCCAGCCGCCTCCGCTTACTCTCCTACCTCAACAACTGTTTGATGCTGTCGCCTCTCACTAGGCCCACTTCGTGTTCGTCTCTGGTTGTTTAACAACTAACCGGGCGCAGCGAACTTCTTCAATACAGCCACCTACCCCATTCACGTGGTCAACATCACTGCAACGTTGCTCGTGTCCCACACCTAAAATACTCGCAACGCAAGTTATTGATTCGGAGAGAAAAAAATAATAATGGTGTTCACAAACACTAAGAAATAAAGGAAAACTTATCTCTCGTTGCGCGCCAGCTGCTTCTGCACAAACGGACCTGCTCGACTTTGCACCCTGCAGGAAAAACCAGGCGGAGGCTCACGCCACCTAGCCTTAGAGTTAAGTACTATCACTGTGTGTTTAAGGATTGAATTTTAATCGCGCCTCGATTGTAGCCACCAATCAGTTAGCCTCCTCCTGGTTATTTCTACCCGTTTAATGTCTATTTTGCCTTCACTGACCCTAAACCCCAATGCTTTGAAATATTCGGCACCATTATCTTCGACAATAGGGTGGAGTCCTTCACAGAACATTATCAAATGTTCAGCCATTTCCTTCTCTCTCCGCACGCACTACATACCATGCCTGTGCCTTCATATTTCGCTCGGTACGTCTTGATCCGCGATACTCCCGTTCTAGCCTCGAAGAGCAGAAAACTACCCCGAGAATTATCGTAGATCTTTTCCCTAGCAATTTCCTGATTAAAAGTTGGGTAGGTCTCTGCAGTGATGATTCCGTAAGCATTCCCTCCTTCCACATGTCCCTCTTTGTTTCGTTCACCTTCTTTTTAACCGATGTTTCCTTTTGGCTTGGTATTCTGCTGTTGTCTAAATACTTGCTTGACAATATTCAAGTTCGTCTCTACCATTTAGTAACGACATTCTTCATGTACAAGTACCTGAAAACTTTCCTAACTCAACGCCCATTTCCCACTTAACTCAATCCCTTCTCAAATTCTATCTTGCTGCTAGCTTCCCTGCACTCAAACGATGTCCATCCCATGTCTCCCTGTA